CTAAGCTTCTTCTTTTTTTCTTTCTCATCACCAATACCCGAAATTTCTTTATACAATGCTTTTGCATGATAAATTCTGAAATAAAATTCTTCCCATTCCAAGTTGATTTGAGTTTGTTCTTTTCTTAATTTCAAATAATTAAGTTGATCTGACCATTTTGAAATATAGCTTATGTTTGGAGTGTATGTGGGACTCAAAAATTCAGATTCCCCATTTAATCTAGACAAAAAAAGTGTTGTTTGTTTTTTTTTGTTATTGTCGCCATCAATATTGGCCATTTTATATTTAATGAGAAAAAAGTTAATCGATTGTGAAACTAATTTAATTTTAAACTAGTTTTATATGTTGATCTGTTGTACAAGTGTAGATCGTATCATGTGATTATATTTCGATTTGTATAACGATAAAGATTACCAGGATAATTTAATAATACCCATGTAGAGATTTTCTTAACGGGTGCCAATAAAGAAGATCATTTTGAAATAAGAGAAAATTGTAGAAAAATATTTTTCTATAACTAAAGTTAACAACTTTTACCATGTGGATGGAACTGATTTGGGGCTTGACACTTAGGCCCAAAATCAAAATATAATGTAAAATGCCTATTGTTAGACTAAATAATGTATAGTTTTATGTAAAGAATTGTTTTTTTTTAACTATTTAACAACCATTTTCTAACTGGCTTTTTACTTTTATATAAATATATGACATTTTTTTAAAAAAAAACATTTTAATAAAACTTGTAATTTATAAAAAAATAATTACGACTTTGTTAGAAGTACGAGATAAGTATTTTAAGTTCTGCAAAAATTATTATTATTATTGCATCCCAAATTCAGATGACTGACTCTCTAAAAGTTCCATATAATGTTAAATAATCGATTATAAATTCACATGAGTTTCTATTTATCTTTAATATGGCACGAATCCATCATAATCTGGGTGTCCGAACCCACGACTTCCAGCTATTATTTCAGCAAAAAAATCTTTTAGTCATATATTATATTTCAATTAGATTGGTCGACTCCAAAAGTTCAATGCACAATTGGCTCATAAGGATCAGTATACAAATATGAATGCTTCAACTTATTGATCTTATAAAAAGTCGATAAAACATATTATAAACTCAGCAATTAATATAACAATAAGAATGTTTTGGCAAGTAACCCATTTCACGAGAATTTTTCTTGTAGATTTAACATTGCAAACAATATTTGGTGGTAATTTCTCTTCAACTGTTATTTTCAATATCTTTAAATCACAAAAAAATCGTATCTATATACTTTATACATTTTTGGATCACATAACAGATCAGCATTTATATTATAAATCGATAATATATATTAATTATTAACTTTATCATAGAATAGTACTGTATATCATATTACGAATAACCGCGGCTAAGATAGCATAATTATCTCCTTATCTCCTTATTTGAACAAGTTCATTTATGATAAAAATAATCGAACAAAGCTTTTTGAAATAGCGAACGAAGAATTGGAACATTAAACTTTGTTTATATCATTAAATTCTTAGTGGTAGATAAATTTTGTTTCCCTACATCTTTTTTGGAATCTTATTGATTATATGCTGAAAATTTTAATTAAAAAATTACATCACGGTCAGATATGTTTTAACACATATAATTGCGTAACAGATCAGCACTATATATTATAGATTAATCGTTATCATAAAATGCTGTATATCATACATAACTCGGAGTTTCGTTTTAATAATTTGTAAAATAGGTAATACGAATAACCACGGCAAAGATATCTCCTTACTTAAACAAGTTCATTTACGACAAAATGTATTAAAAGGAGCATGAAAACATTCAGCTCCTAATTAATTTTAATCAAAATGAAATCAGAATATTTTATTTATTTAACTCTGAATCTTTTACGAAGAATCGCTAAAGGGGTTCTTTACTCGTTTGTTTCACTTATATTGATTCTTTTATCAACCATTGCAATATTCATTGCAGTATTTATTTTAGTATTTATTCCAAATTTATTTATTCTTTCTGTTATAAATGTTGCTATTACATTATTATTTCAAAAAATTATCGATAACAATATCAATAAATTTAAGCCTGTAACTTCTAATAATAACAGGCTTTTGGTTTCTTTTTGCTTAATATCTCCAAAAAATTTTTAACCGGAAACCGAATCTTTTCTAATTCAAAGTTTATGTTTTGTTCTCGCTTAGAACTAATAATTACATATCTATTTACATATTTATTTAAGTTTAATCCTTATGAAAAAAATCAGAAGGATAGCCAAGAAATCTATTTTACACATAATAATCGCATCGCCCAATTAAATGTTGAAAAGTTTACAAATAAATCCCATGACCCCATAGGATTGTATTTTAATTTAATATTCTTCTTTATCCTAATTTTAAATAAACATAAAAACCAGATTAGTGATATTATTAAATTTCAGAATATTTATTTTAATTTTAAAATCCACTTCGACAAGAATAATAGATTCGATAAATTATTTTAGTCATCTATTTCACAAAGTCGCATTTGACAAAAGTTCACTGCAGATTAAATCTTTATGGTCTGAATATAATCATCAATGTGCTACGTTGTCATATCAATTTCATTTTGCTGAATCCTATTCTGAAGATAAACCTTATTATCGATTTTATAAAACTATTTTGCCTACTCCAAATAATAACTCTTCTTTGGTTATAGAAAACACAGATCAATCCTTGCGAACAGCAAAAATGAAAGGTCTATTTAATAAACCAGAAGCTATTATCTACACCGAAAATTCAGATGCAGTTGTCGAAGTGAATGATTATATATTCTATAAAGAAGTAAAATACACTATTGATGAATTTCTCAAAAATATACAAGAAGAAATAAATTTCCAAAAGAAAGAAAGTCGCGAATTCGTTGATTATTTGTCCCATGAACACGAAAATATAGATGAAAGTATTCGCAATCTGCTACGATGTTTAGAAGATGAAATATTTGAAAGGGACTGTGGTGTCTGCTGTATTGATGGGGTCCGTGTTGACGCTTCTTCTCAAAACCTTTGCCGAAATTCATTTGGTTTTCAAATTAGAGCTGGTTATAATAACTTTGTTAAAAGTCAATAGAATTTGCACCTCGAATTCGTTTAAATGTTTCTAATTAAGGTTAAAATAGGCAATACTCCCACATATTTTATTTTTACCTAAATTTAAATACTAAATTAATTTTTAATTTTTTGTAAAATTAAATTGGCTAAATAATTAGCTTAATGCTATACAACTTTGTTTAGCTTGAGGGACATGCACTTTATTCAACCATCTGCTTTCGTCAAAGAGCAATTGAATATCTGTGGTCTATTGGAAAGTCAATCAAGCTATCATTTATTCCAGTACAGAAATTTATGGCTAAAAATGCAATCGATAAGTAACTTTTAAAGCTTTTACTTATTTAATAATGTAATTATAAGTAGTAACATTCTTTTTTTAGGAATGTTATTCGCATGGGACTTTGCTATGAATGACTTGCGAAGTGGGTCATTTTTTAGCAAAAGCCCAAATATTTACAGCTCGACTGGTTTAATAACGAAGATCAATTGATCAATTGATTTTCCAGTTTATCACGGGGATTCTTTGCTTCAAAATGACAGGACCTGATGGCCTTTGATAAGTTTATGAGATTTTTTCGTTAATCAGAATTGCTGGTAAAAAGTTTCCATAGCAATTCTCTCTTAGGCTTTTTGATATTGAACACTAGTTTTTAAGCCATTTATTTAGTCAATTGTATTTTTTTATAAGAACCAATATTTTATTTGTGCAAAAATTTATTAATTATTATAAAAACTTTTATACAAAAAAGATTAATTTTTAACTCAATTTTTTTGAATAAAAATGAACGATTTCCTAAGTAAAACTACATTTTTTTTAATGAACTTTTTGTAAAGACAACTTTAAATCGTATATATTTCAGCGAAAATTTATAAATGGCATTACTCTTTTATTTTTTAATTTATAAAAAATGAGTTTTTTTACAACAAAGTAGACTATGTCAATAGACTCAACCTATCAAAACTTAATATAGCTGAATATTGGCTACCTCTCCCAATTGCTGAAATTTCACCAAATTCTTCACATTTAAGTTCGAATGGTAATAATTCGTTACTCTCGCTTTCATTTCCCAGAGCAGAGGTTTCGCCAAAGCCCCAAGTATACACTTTATTGTCATTATTAATAGCGATAGAATGATAATCTCTGGTCGCAATATATTTGCAATTATTAAAATTAATTCAGACAGGAGATTTTCTGTTTCCTTCCAAAGCACCAGTGCCTAATTGCCCATATCTAGTACTGCCAAAGCTATAAACATTACCATTTTCTAGAAGGACCAGCGTATGATGAAGTCCTGCAGAAATTTGCTTCACTCTGAATAAATTCTCGAAGAACTCTAACTTCATTAGCATCATAATAGGATTTGGTGAATCAATACCACACTGACTCTCCATATTTTGAACCCACACAAAAATAATCCCATCTTCATCGACTGCAAAACTATGATATCCTCCAGTAAAAATTTTTCTAATTCGATTGATTGATACCTTCTCAGGAATTAAATTAAACCGATAGGCTTTAGGCATTTTTAGTACACAATCAGATATTCTTCTTCCAAGTTGATAAGAATCTCTGCTTCCAAAAGTGTATAAATAACCTTGAGTCATTAACACTAACGCGTGATTTTCTCTGACAGCGATGTCAGCAATTTTTAAGTGCGAAGTAGGGCCGTATTTCATAAATGTTGATTGTTTATCAATTTTTAAAGTAAATCTAAAATTCCTATTATTATCCTTAGAGGTAAAATGTAAATTAGATTTGCTATAATGAAATATTAATCTTAATGTGCAGTAATTTTAAAAAGAAACCCACATACCCGAAATGTGCCGGTAGCATACAGTTGACCTTTATCAGATAAAGCTAACGTTATATTAGAACCACAAATGACTTTGACTATTACTATGTCATCAAGACCTTGAGCGTATGCCGGTATATTCTCATCAGTTGCATTTGGATTTTCTTCACTTTTAGAAACTCTTCCCAATGCACCTTTAAATGCAAGAATCAGTTTATATAGTTGACACTACTTAATTTAATAATTCATGTTATATTCGTACCTTTATTATTACAACCCCAAGTAATAACCTAAAAACAATAATAATTAATAAATTTAAAGTTTTGTTGTTAAGTAAAGGTTAGTTTTTTTTTTTTTTTACCTTTCTATCTCGAGTTAGAGCTGCAACATGTAGACTTCCACAACTAATTTTCACAATATGAGAATAAACTAGACTCTTAATTTGTCTAGGATATTTCACTTCTTTAAATTCTTTACCATCCCCTAAGCCAAGTTCACCACAATCGTTGTTATTCATAACAAACAATTTTGTACATTTTGAATAGGATAGTCCGAGTAGCTCTACATTGATCATCTTGTGTGTTCTTTTTTATGGCATTTTTTTAGAATCGATTTTCAAATTTCTAGTATATTGGTTTTGTCGTAAATAAATACAGTCAGCTTTGGAATTAAAATGAGCCTTTTTATAGCAAGCCGGACAACGAAAAATTCGATATATTTTATATAAAATATCTTTTATTATAAAAACTGGTTTATATATTATTAATGACAAATAATTTATACAGTATATAAAAGTATTAGTTACAATTTTTTGTTATAATATATTATTTATTAAGTAGAAATTGGTGCCGAATTTATTATGTAAAAATAAATTCGGGTTCTGAACTTTATTGAATTTATAAAATCATTTAGTCTCTTAATTAGGACTGGGTAAGATAACAGAATCGAGTGCGTTCTAGTACACGTACTAAGCCTCAAAATGCTGCGCAATAATGCATATTTGCGAAAAATCTAAAAAAAATCAAAAAAGATTCTTCTCTGTTTTTTTTTTTTTTAATTAATAATAAAAAGGGCTGTGCAGAAGTCGAATTCGCACGAAAGTATTTAAATTTTGCAAAAATCATTCCTGGGAATCTAATTCGCAAAATGGATATCATTTTCGCTATTTGCATCTTCAAAACGTTTTATTATGTTTTTTATATTTTTGCTCTTATTTTTTTAAATTTTAAAAATACCTCTAATATCAAAGGAAGCAATGCTGCTGATAATGATAATTTCATATTAATTATCAAAGTGGACGACGACGAAAAGGTGACTGATGAAAATGAAACAAGTGCTGAATTGGAAACAGTAAATGCACAACCCATGGAAGACATGAACAAAAAAAATCAAGAAATTGAACAATTAAGAAAAGAAAGTCTATTCCTTCAACAAAAAATTGAACAAATGGGAGAAGAAAGCAGATTACTCAACTATATGAATTGTTGTCTCCAACAGCAAGTTACCTATAATCAAGGACTCTAATTAATGAAGAAACATGTGTAAAGGAGGCTATAACTTTACGTTATATTTATACTGACCGTCTTGACACATACATCGAGGACATTACACAATACAGGCGTACACTTGACAAACTTGTCGATCATCGGCATATTCAAGTAACTCATTTATTAAGTGGTTGAGAAGTAACAGATCTCTCAAGAAAAGACAATTTTTCAGCGAGAGTTGTAACACAATATTATAATTGGGATGGTGTACGGCTAGCATCTAAGATGCTAAACAGATATAAATCTCATCAAATAGTTAATGCGTTTATTAATAAGATTTTTGATTTAGATAAATTTACATATATTAATATGTATACTGGAAGAAGAAATAAATTTAATCGTAAAATATATAAGCGGGTTAAGCATAACATTTACAGTGTTCCTATTATTTCCTTTGACATATATAATGACATTTTTATTAAATATGCTAAGAATATTAACTTTGTAGGAGTATATACCGAACTTTTTAGTAAAAATAGAGGAATGATTGAAACAGTAATTGAGTTTAACGGCCAATTAATTTAGTTTATATTCTGTAGTTTATTAATTATTTTTATTAAAGTTTAAAAAAAATAAATGTTGAAAAATAACCGAATGAAAAGGATATAAAAAAGAATATTATTATAAATTTGCTAAATTCGTTATACTCAGTGTTGGCAATTTTTGCGCAACCCAATTTTTTTTGTCCTTTGGCTAGCCAAATTAGCCAGCAGCCAATGGCCAATAGCCAAACTTCAGCCAAAAGTTTTTAACTTATATAATATTAACTAATGATGGGTGACGAATGAAATATTTAGCAATGAGGACGACGAAACCATCTCGTCAGGTAACAAAACCTATGATTTTATGTTACACCTGATCTTAAATTTTGATTGGCTATTCTAATAGATTTGTGTGACATGGTGTTAATGAAAAATTTTATATGTAATATATAGCATTTGAACGTAAAAAAAATAAAAAAGTGATTTTTCTCTTTGGATTCATTGAAAAGTTAATGCCTGCGTATTGCGATAAACTTTTTTGTGAAATTACCCAACGATCTGCATTAATATTCCGAAAAAACAATCGGTAATAAAAATATTATTAGCTTCAGATTCTATCCAATATAAAGTAAAATTAATTTTTATGCGTATTACTCGTTTAACTTTTATGGTGTTAACTTTTTTTTAACAAACTGGCTATTTGATAAAAAAAAGTTCATCGTCAAAAAATTGTTACATGTTCATATGTACCGTCAAAACTTATGTTATAAGGAAAGAGGACAACTGTATTCTTAAATTTTATTGGTCAAATTAATTTCGTCAATCGTCAGTAATTTTGTCAATTTCAAAATTCCATCAGACGAAACCATTGACTTCAATGCAAAATAACTTCATCGCCCACCATTAATATGAATGTTTGACCATTTTTCATCCAATTTGGCCATTGATCACGGCTATTGACCAGAAATGACAACACTGGTTATACTGTATCAATCTATTATATCAATCTATATCAATCTATAATACTACATACTGTTGTCAAGTCACATAATAACTTCTACTCATATATGATTGGTCAGTATCGTGACATTTATCAATTATCTATTTTCGTAAAAAATACAAAAAAATATGATTGGTCAGTCAGTATCGCGATGTTTATCCATTATCCATTTTCGGGAGTTGTTTGCGTGTTAATATGAGAAACCATAATAATAGTTCGTTTGGTGGATATGCAGATGTAAAATCTAAAAACAAATTATAAAGAATCAAAAATAAATTAAACCTTATTGGTTGTCACAAAAATTATTTGAACCGAAAAGAATTAAATTTTTCTTTACACACTTTTTTATTATTCAAAATTACTGTACAATAATCGATCGCTTTTGCTTTTCAAAGAATATTTTATCTGAGTTTAGAGCTGCAGGGATTTGAGCGATCGCTTCAGATGGAAAGACAAAGTATGAAGGAAACTGCATGTTCTCAAGATATTTTTTGAACGTTCCTTCTTTGCAAAAAAGAAAAGTGAAAGGAAGGAAGAACGATAGCCAATTTATCTGTTATATACTATATATATATATATACAGTATATATTTTCAAGATTAACATCTTGTTTAATTCATAAAACTATAGTTAACTACAGTTTTAGAGTAAACTATTTAGTTTATTTATATTAACTATAAGTCATAATTCACATTTTATATATAGAACATGTTACTTTAAAGATTTAGATCCGCAATATGCTGCTATAAACTGTAGGATTTCCAGTACCATTACAATATAAAAAGCCAAAAAGCCTGAATAGATAATTACAAAATACCAGCTAGAAAATTTGAACCTTTTTAACATTCACAAAACCAAATACGACAAGTTTATAAGTCTGGTCAAAGACTGGCAGCAGTAAAATATCCAAATAACGACAAAGTAATTTATCACATATATTATTTGGAATTTATTTTAATTTTAATTTAACATTTTTAATTAAAGGAAAGAATGAAAATGAGATTCGGGTGTTTTCTTATATTTATAACTGTTTTAATCATTTGGTAAGTTATACAAATTCATGTAGTTCAAGGGACAATTTCTGAACCAATTTTAATTGACAGTGCTTCTAGAAAATTATTCTTCCCTGAGCTTTATAAGCCAGTCATACATGGAACCTTTGGAGTCAACCAATCAGTACCATGGCACATATTTTGTTTGATATATGAATTTATTGCTGAAATTATGGTTAGAAGGTGCGGATTCGGGAGTCATTCTTATAATAGTGATGTATGGTAAATGATATTATCAATATATAGTCTATTTAATTATTTATACAATAGGAGACCCGACCAAGGTTTTGGTATAAGCCCCTTCAATAAAATTCAATTGATTTATAATAGGGTCCCTTATATACTAATTTGATCTAAGATTTTTATTAAAGATAAATAAGCGAACATCTATTTATTAAGATAAAGTAAAAAAAAAA